CAGGGTGATCGGGGGGCCCCCGCTGGGACCTGCCTTGGCTGGCCTGGGGCCTGCAGGCTGGGGGCAGCTCCTGTATGGACTGTCTGCCCCCTGATGGTCAGTGCACATCATAGCAACTGGTCATTCCACCATTAGGTCGATTTGCATATTAGGCTTTTATTATATAGGATGGCCTGTCGCTAGGGAGAGGAAACTGGGTATTGCTATGTGATGTCATTACCCAGTGCCCACAGCTACCGTTTCCAGGCTGGGCTGGTCTGTGGGTTGCATTTTGTGCCATGAGGTCTTGGCAACATTGGCTGCAATTTGGTGGGCTGTTGCTCCGGGGTGGTGGCAGGGCCTGTGTCCCACTTGGGGGAAGCTGAGTGTTGTTTTGTTGGTGCCAGGTCTTTAGTGCTGTTTACTGTTAAACTAGAGGCCCGGTGCACAGATTCGTGCACCAGTAAGGTCCCTTGGCCTGGCCTGCACCCTCTCGCAATTCGGATGTCGCGGCAGCTCCTGTGTTGAGTGTCTGCCCCCTGATGGTCAGTGCACATCATAGCTACTGGTCGGATGGTTGGAGGGACACTTAGGATATTAGCCTTTTATATATATAGATAATTAATAACCACGGAAAATGTTGTAATATTTGCTTTTAATGGTCATACATATTCTAATGCATTTAAGAAAAAGAGTCGCCCTGGCCGGTGAGGCTGAGTGGATGCAGTGCTGGCCTGTGCACTGCAGGGTCCAGGTTTCGAGTCCCGGTCAAGGCCGGGTACCTGGGTTTTGGGTTTGCTCCCCGCGCCCAGTCAGGGTGTATGCGGCAGGCAACCAGTTAATGTGTCTCTCTCGCATCTATGTTTCTCTCTCTCTCTTTTTCTCTCTCCCCCGCCCTCGCTTCCTCCCACTCTCTCTGAAATGCAATGGAAAGAATATCCTCAGGTGAGAATTAACAAAAAACAAACAAATCAAAAAAGAGTCTATTTGCCCAGGTACCCATCATTTCCATTACTTTAACTTTATTCACAAAAAGAATGACCAAGTTATAAACCATAGAGTAACTTTAATTTAAAACAGGAGAAATAATGTAGAAAATAGTAGTTTCAAATCATAGTGTAATAAAAGTAGAGGTTGATAAAAACCAAAAAGGCCTTCAGCTGAAAATTTCACAATTCCCTACTAATCAACTTCTGAGTCAGAGGGAAATGCAATGTGAAATTACAGAATTTCTGGGAAACAATAAGAATGAAACTGCAAGAGAGAATTTGTGGAAGACAAATAAAGCATGCTCATAGATTTAAATATTTCCATCAGTAACACAGCAAATTAATTCACTATCTTGCTCAAAAATTGGAAGAGGAATAGGATAAACTGAAGTAACGCAGGGAAAAAAAGCAATAAAGATAATAGGAAAAAATGTTGTAAAATAGAATAACACTGGAATTTTCAATTCACCAAAAAGCCAGTGAAGCCCTGGCTGGTGTGGCTCAGTTGGTTGGGCGTTGTCCCGTGCACTGAGAGGTCCCGGTTGGATTCCTGATCAGGGCTTGGGTTGGGGGGGCTTGATCCCCAGTAGGGGGTTGCAGGAGGCAGCCAATGTTTCTCTCTCATCGATGTTTCTCCCTCTCCCTTCTTATCTCTCTAAAATCAATAAAAACTTTTTAAAAAGCTGTTTAGTTTATAATCAAAGAAAAAGTGAGAAAACTTAAAAACACGAAACAAGAAATGACAAAGGTGGTGCCCCCCCGGGCACTGTGCTGACTCCTCCCACACACTATGGCCCTTGCAACACCACCACACGAGTAGCTGTCAGCGCCAGCATTATCATCACACGCCTCTCACTGCACTACGTGAGACAGCGAGGCGCAGAGAGGGCCTCTGACCGCGCCCAGGACAGTAGCAGGTGGAGCTGGAACACAAACCAGTGCCGCCTGACTGGCGCCCGATGCCATGACGCCACAGTCTCCCCCCAGTGGTGGAGGGTCCGGGTGGGAGAGGGTGCGACCATGTTACTGGGCCTGCCTCCTGGTGAGATCCGCTCCGCATTGCCTGCTCTGGGGCCAGGGCCGCTGTAATCTACGTGGTGACAAGCATCAGCTTCCAAATGCAGCCCTGCTTCTTTCATTCTTTCTTTCTTTTTCTGTTCATCTTCACCCAAGGATACTTTTCCATTGATTGTTTAGAGAGAGTGGAAGGAAGAGAGGGAGGGGGGAAGAGAGAGAGACATTGATATGAGAGAGACACATTGATTGATTGCCTCCCGCGTGTGCCCCAACTGGGGCCGGAGATCAAACCCACAACCCAGGGATGTGCCCTTGATGGGAATTGAACCTGAGACCCTTTGGTGCTTGTGCTGGCGCTCTAACTACTGAGTAACACCAGCCAGGACCCTGTTTCTTTCTCATGCAAGAAAGTGTCAGCAAGGAGCAGGCCCCAAAGGAGGGCGTGACCTGTTCTGAGATCACTCTTCACTTCGCTGATTGAGACAGAGAAGAGGAAACTCTGGTCTAGAAAAAATTAAATGCATGCAAGCCCTCGGCTTATGTTCCCAGCCACCCAATGAGATTCCATAGACCATTTCAATCAACAGTATGGGAAACACTGGTCTCCATCCTATATAATAAAGGGCTAATATGCAAATGGACCAAATGGCGGAACGACCAGTCACTATGATGTGCACTGACCACCAGGGGGCAGACGCTCAATGCAGGAGCACCCCCTGGTGGTCAGTGCGCTCCCACAGGGGGAGCACCGCTCAGCCAGAAGCCCTGAGCCGGGCTCACGTCTGGTGAGCGCAGTGGTGGTGACGGGAGCCTCTCCCGACTCCACAGCAGCACTAAGGATGTCCAACTGCCCCGAGGGCTCCCGGACTGCTGAGGGACGACCCCCCCCCATGAATTTTGTGCACCGAGCCTCTAGTTTGGAAAATAAAATGGATAACCACTTCCCACTCTGCCCCTAAGTCTGCTCCAGATTGATTAAAGTGAAACATAAAATGCACACTACGAAGGTTCAAATCCTGGAGAGGAAACTGTCATCTTGTAAAGAGCTGCCAGCCAGCACAGGCAGGGAAGTTAGCGGATTAGTGCCAGCCGCGGCCAAGGCAGCTGCAGCCCCTCCTCGGCTCCTGAGCAGGGTGGCGGAACAACCTGGGCGTAAGCAGGAGCTGTAGTCTCCCCTGGCTGCCGGCCAGAAGCCCAAGGTCAAGATGCAGCCGAGCTGTCATGCGCCCGCCGTGGGCTCTGGGAGGATCCTCCGCCCCTGCCAGCTCCTGGGGGCTCCAATCCTTGCCGTTAGCTCCTTGGCATTAGATTCCTCACCCCAGTCCCTGCCCCTCCTCACATGGCTCCCCGGGTGGCTCTCTCTCATCTCACAAGGACACTAGTCACTGGATTGAGGGCCCTCCCTAGCCCAATGTGACCTCGTTTTAACCTGATTACGTCTGCAAAGGCCCCACTTCTAAACAAGGAATGCGGGTCAGGGCAGACTTGAACTTGAGGGGATGCTACTAAAGCCAGGGCATCAGCTCAGCAGTACCTTTCCACTTGAGATGCTCACCCTTCCTTGTCCTATGATCCTTATGATCATCCATAAACGTCCTCTTCCCTCCACATGCCATCTAATGCAGAGCAAGTCCTTTTGGTACTGATGTAAAAGCCGCCCCCCTGTCCCACCCCCACCGCCGGCACCTCTGTCCTGGCCCCCACACCTCTGGCCTGGCCATCATGGAAGCTCCCTGCCCCCGCTTGTCTCCTGCTTCCCGTGGTGCCCGCCCCCCTCCCTGAATGATATTTTAGAAAAACCACAAATCAGGTGATATCATTCCCTAGCCCCAAACCCTCCTTGGGCTTCTGCTACAACCCGGGTCACTTTCGCCCACAACCGGGAGCAGTGAGAGGGGGTGCCCACCGGCGTCGGGAGGGGCGTTGAGGACTCAGGCCCTGCTGGCTTCTGAGGCCTCGGGCAGCGCCAGTCCCCCGCGGCTGTCAGCAGTGAGGCGCGCCGCTGACCTCGATCCTCGACCATCGAGGCGACAGCTTCTCCTGGCCTCTGCCTCCCAGCGAACTGCAGGGTGGCCCCGTGACCTCTGAGGGCCACTGTGCTGCCACTAGAACCCATCAGCTCCGTCTCCTGTCACCATGGCGATGAGGTCGCTATGGGGACGCTGCGATGGAAGCAGTTAGATGTCATCCCCCTAGTGGACCAGGCCCCGCCCCCACCCCATTCACGCCTGGGGAGTTAGGGCCGACCCCTGGGTGAGGGAGGTAGGTGAGGGACCTTCACTGTTGGCCCCACATCTGTCTGAGCCCAGGTCCTCGGTCTGTGAGCGAGCTCTGGGCACCTTGTTCCGAAGTTCCTCAGAGTCAGTCAGACGGCGTTTGAGGCCCAGGCTGAGGGGTCGCATCGGCATTTTGACCGCCTCCAGCTGACTCAGCGGAGGCTCTGGTAGGAACACACTAGACTCGGAGCAGGAAGCTATGTGTGACCTTCAGGGTGGCTCCCCAGGCCTCAGCGTCCATCTGTCCCTGAGGAGGGAAGGGAGGGGGTCGGCCTGGGAGAGACGGGCAGGAGGACCCTCCCTTCAAAACTGAGTCTTGTCCACCTTTTCCTGCATCACAGGGGGGAAGTCCATCGATAGAGCAGCCCAGCCTTATGTTCCGGCTCCTTTCCCCTGATCGTCCTCTTGCTAGTCCTCACCAAGGATATTTTTCCATTGTTTTTTAGAGAGAGTGGAAGAGAGGTAGGGGGGAGGGAGAGAGAGAAAGGGAGAGAGAAAACATCAGTGTAAGAGACAGGTTGACTGGTTGCCTCCCACCAAGGATAGAACCTATAACCCAGGTATGTGCCCTTGACCAGGAATTGAAGCCTAGACCCCTTGGTGCTGGAGCCAATGCTCTAACCACTGGACGCACCGGCCAGGGCCTGATCATCTTTAAGTCTCAGAACATCTGCTGCAGCTTCTCCTCTTTTTAAACTCTTTATTGTTGAGAGTATTACAGATGTCCCCCTCCCTCCCCCCCGTGCCCCCCTTATCTGTGGACTGAAGGGTCCCGAGTCTGATTTCCTGTCAGGGCACGTGCCCGGGCTGCTGGAGGATCGAGCCGGGAGGCAGCCGATCAATGATTCTCTCTCATCATGGATGTTTCTATCTCTCTCCCTCTCCTTTCCTCTCTGAAATCAATAAAAATATGTTTTTTTTAAAGAACTGCCTGGGGCTCCAGCAGCCTCTGTGTCACTCAGCCACAATCCCTGCTGGTGTTTACAGCCCAAAGTTACTGGGGCTTCTCTTCCCAGCCCTGGACTCCTGGGCTGGGGGGCTGGCGTGGGGCTGGGCCCCTTGCTCCTCACAGGAGGCCTTGGAGATCTCCCTCCCGATTAAAAAAACGCCGCACGTGGGTGTCGGACCAGCCCGCTCACCGTCTCCGCCCTCCTGCCAGTCTCAATGTGCTTCTCCTCTACTCCTCTAGCTGTAGGCCTTCCATTCAGCCAGCTTCAGGCGGTTCCAAATGGTGTTGTTCTGTGTTTTAGTTGTAATTTTGATGTGGTTGTGGGAGGCGAGTCCCTGTTTACCTGCCCCGCCGCCGTCTTGGTTCTCTGCAGCTTCTCTTTCTAAGCAAAAGAGCAGCACTGCTCCATCGAGTGGGGCTGCCTGCCTGTGGCGAGGAGGCTGGAGGGCGTGACCACGGAGCTGGCCCCGACCCCCAGGCCCTGTGACATCATGCCCTGAAGGTCAGGGACCGTGCTCTGCACACGCCAGGCACTGAACACACACAGCCAGTGGTCAAGGCCATGACCAGGATGGCCGGTGTGTGCTGTGCGTTCTGGCTGGACTTCCCTTATCTCCAGGTGAACTCGGCAAAAAGCAAACGCGCTGGCCCTTGCTTTGCTCTGTGCGGCCACGCAGTCCCAGGCTCTGACCCTCGGCGTCCGGCGCACCCTCTCGGTGACGTAGAGCTTCCTGCCAGGACTCCCTGCGGGCGCATCTGGAAATGTCAGGTCACCCTTCTCCCAGCGTCAGAGGCTCCCGCGTGGCCAGGCCCCCGAGCGCAGACTTTGGGAGCCCGTGCCGTGGTCAGGCACACCTATGCCAACGTGAGGTGCATTGTCCTGGAGGTCAATATTGACCTGGTACGTACGTTCCATCGGTATTTACCTCTTACATCAATGAAGCTTCGTGCTTATCTCGGGCATGGGCACCTGCTGACGCGGAGCTCCCGGCCTGTTCAGGAGCCCGGCAGGACGGGGGCGGAGGGGCCCACAGGCCCGCGGGCTGGAAAGCGTCCTCCAGTTCCGCTCCCAGTGTCCTTGGGCCTGGAGTCCCTCGTGGTCCCAAGGTCCCGTCACTCCCAGCCTGTTGCCTAGTGAGCAGGACAGTGTGGCCGGCCGCCTCAGATCGGTGGAGGCAAAACTTGGAAACTAAGACGGTGTTTGCATTTGGATGGACTGAAACACGGCGGCCCGACTCCAGCCAGCGCTGCTGGGAGCAGATTCCGGGGAAAGTTGTGAAAACGATTAGATGACCATCATTTTGGACCAAGGAGATGAAGTTCCCGGGTGGGGGCGGGGATCCCTGCCAGGCCTGTCTGTCTGAGGGCCTGCAGTCAGCACAGTGGGGGGCCGGGGTGTGTGCGGGGCAGCAGAGCCAGGAGGTCGGCCATGCCGGGCCTCTGTCCACTGACCTGCGGACAGAGGTGGGGAGGAACCGGGCCCGGCGTCCCAGATGCAGCATTTCCGTGGCACCATGCTGAGCACACAGCGAGCTGGCTCGGGAGACGGCGGCCTGCTCGGCAGGTGATGGTTAATGGTGCACGTCCACTTGGCCAGGCCGCGGGCGCCCAGACGTTTGGTCTGATGTTTATGGGGTGTGTCTGGGAGGGCGTTTCCGGGTGAGATCAGCATTTGGATCTGCAGACTGAGCCAAGCAGGTGCCTCCCCGGGGCGGGGGCCTCATCTGCGTAGCATGGAGCAGAGCGGGTGCTGGCTGTCACTCAGCCTGAGCTGCGACGCCGTCTTCTCCTGTCCCCTCTGGGCCTCACACCCCTGCTCTCCTGGGTCTCCCACCTGCACATGGCAGGCGGCTTATGGGGCCCGTGTGCCTCCGGAATCCCGTGAGCCCACCTGCACCCGCTGGTCTGTCTCCCACGCACGGAGCCCACCTCCGCCCACTGGTCTGTCTCCCACGCACGGAGCCCACCTCTGCCTGCTGGTCTGTCTCCCACGCACGGAGCCCACCTCCGCCCACTGGTCTGTCTCCCACGCATGGAGCCCACCTGCACCCGCTGGTCTGTCTCCCACGCACGGAGCCCACCTGCACCCGCTGGTCTGTCTCCCATGCACGGAGCCCACCTGCTCCGCCTGCTGGTCTGTCTCCCACGCACACAGCCCACCTGCATCGCCCGCTGGTCGGTCTCCGCAGAGCCTGGCTGATGCTGACTCCGCCACAGGCCCAGGGGAGCTGGTCTGTGCTCCAGCACTAACCTCTCAGCCCCTCTGCCTGGCCCTGGCTCTGCAATAGAGACGACAGTGACATCTCCTGGCCACCGACGGGCTGCTCCCTGAGCCTCCCTTCTCCGAAGGCAGGATGGTTGTCAGGGTCTGACGCCATCAGGCAACTATCACCGCGTTTGGTCTTCAGAGTGACCACCGACCGTCGTGCAAGGGCAGGACTCAGGCTGCAGAGAGCCCAGCCTGGACCGGCCGCAGGCACCACTGGTCAGGCGTGAGCATGCGCACTGGCCCTGGCCGGCCTTGGGGCCTCCTGAGGGTGCCCACGGCAGCAGAGGCCAGGCTTGGGGTGGGGTCAGCCTCCATCGCATCCCTGCTCATCTTCTATCCAGCCAGACAGTAAGAGATTTGCAAACATGTCAATATAGCTGTTTGTCATAAAATACTTATGTTCACATATAGATTGTCAGAGGGGAGGGGTGGGGGCACTGGATGGAAGAAGGTGAAGGGATACGCATGGCCCATAGACACAGACCACAGTGTGGGGAGGCAGGCGAGGGGCAGGGGCTGGGCAGAGGTGGACACAGGGCGGGGGGAATAGGGGCATCTATAATAGTGTCAACAATACAGACAAAATATCCTATCTAATAAAGAGCTAATATGCTAATTAGACCAAACAGCAGAACGACCGTCCGGACAACCTTCCGGACGAAGCCGGGGCTGCAAGGGCCGAGCCCCTTGTACGAATTTTGTGCATCGTGCCTCTAGTCTATAATAATAAAAGTGCAATATGCTAATTAGACCGATGACCTCCCAGACGAAGCCAGGGCTGCTAGGGAAGCCTGGGTCCTGGGTGCCTGCCAGAGGCTGGAGGGAAGCCCTCCCGGGTGCCAGAGGGAACCCAGTGCTGGCTGGCAGGGGAAGGAAGGCCTACTCTTGCATGAATTTCGTGCATCGGGCCTCTAGTATATTTATAAGTGGTTGATTATTGTTATTTTCAAATGAAGGAATAAATATCTTTACGTGTTTTGGGTTTTATTTTCTACTTTGGTAAATTTCTCAGTGGCCATTTCTCATATGGTGACTACAACTCAGACACATGCTCTGCAGCCCCTCCTGCCTCCTATCACCCACCTCTCAGGTGAGGGAGAGATCCGCAAACACAACGTGCTTCCTGTTTTCCGGGTACTGCTCCAAGTCCTTTGCAAATATTAGCTCAACTTGATCCCCGTGAAATGCATGAGGTAAGCACTGTTAGACCACCCCCCACCCCCACCCCGATTTCTGGGGGGTACAGAGAGACTGAGACATTTGCCCAGGGTCACACAGCTGGGAAAGGGCGGAGTCAGGAGCCAGTCTAGGCCTCTGGCCCAGAGCTCAGGCTCCTGCCCTGCGGGCTGTGCTGTCTCACCTTCCAAACTGGGTGCTAACACTCACAGCCCACAGGCTCGTCAGCGACAGGCTCATTTCACATCAGCCTCTGAGGTCCTGCCCGTGGAGTTCAGACACTGATGGTACTGCCTCCAAATGTGTGTGGAGCATGTGTGTGTGTGTGTGTGTGTGTGTGTGTAGAGCATGTGTGTGTGTAGAGCATGTGTGTGTGTGGAGAGTGTGTGTATGTGTGTGTAGAGCATGTGTGTGTGCATGTGGAGAGTGTGTGTGTGTGTGTTGTGTGGAGAATGTGTGTGTGTGTAGAGCATGTGTGTGTGTGTGTGTGTGTGTGTGTGTGTGTGTGTGTAGAGTGTGAGTGTATGAGTGTGTGTGTGAGGAGAGAGTGTGTGTGTGTAGAGCATGTGTGTGTGTGTGTGTGTGGAGAGTGTGTGTGTGTGGAGAGCATGTGTGTGTGTGTAAGTGTGTGTGTGGAGAGTGTGTGTGTGTGTGTGGAGAGCATGTGTGTGTGTGGGGGGGGAGTGTTGTGTGTGTGTGTGGAGAGTGTATGTGTGTGTGTGTGGAGAACGCGCATGTGTGTGTGTGTGGAGAGCATGTATGTGTGTGAGTGTGTGTGTAGAGCATGTATGTGTGGGTGAGTGTTTGTGTGTAAAGCATGTGTGTGTGGAGAGCGTGTGTGTGGAGAGCATGTGTGTGTGAGTGTGTGTGTGGAGAGCATATGTGTGTGTATGTGGAGAGCGCACATGTGTGTGTGTGTGGAGAGCATGTATTGTGTGTGAGTGTTTGTGTGTAAAGTATGTGTGTGTGGAGAGCGTGTGTGTGGAGAGTGTGTGTGTAGAGCATGTGTGTGTGTGTGTGGAGATCGCGTGTGTGTAGAGTGTGTGTGAGTGTGTGTGTGTGTGAAGAGCGTGTGTGTGGAGAGTGCGTGTGTGTGTGTGTGGAGAGTGTGTGTGTGTGTGTGTGGAGAATGTGTGTGTGGAGAATGTGTGTGTGTGTGTGTGTAGAGTGTGTGTGTGTGTAGAGTGCGCGCGCGTGTGTGTGTGTGTGTGTGTGTAGAGCATGTGTGTGTGTGAGTGAGTGTGTGTGTGTGTGTGTGGAGAGTGTGTGTGTGTGTGTGTGTGTGGTGTAGTGAGTGTGTGTGTGTTTGTGTGTGGAGAGTGTGTGTATGTGTGCGAGAATGCGTGTGTGTGTGCGAGAATGCGTGTGTGTGTGGAGAGTGTGTGTGTGTGTGGAGAGCGTGTATGTGTGTAGAGTGTGTGAGTGTGTGTGTGGAGAGTGTGTGTGTGTGAGAGTGTGTGTGTGTGTGTGAGTGAGTGTGTGTGTGTTTGTGTGTGGAGAGTGTGTGTATGTGTGCGAGAATGCGTGTGTGTGTGCGAGAATGCGTGTGTGTGTGGAGAGTGTGTGTGTGTGTGGAGAGCGTGTATGTGTGTAGAGTGTGTGAGTGTGTGTGTGGAGAGTGTGTGTGTGTGAGAGTGTGTGTGTGTGTGTGTGTGTGTGGAGAGCATGTGTGAGTGTGTGTGTGTGTGTGTGTGTGTGTGTGAGCTCAGGCTGCCATAGTAAACACCACAGACCCGGGCTTACACAACAGACAGTTGCTTCCTCCCGGTCCTGGAGGCTGGACGTCCGAGCTGGAGGTGTGGGCGGGGCTGGTTCCTCCCGAGGCCTCTCTCCTTGGCGTGTAGACGCCGTCCTCTCCTGCGTCCTCACACGGCCGTCTCTCTGTGTGTCTGTGTCCTCGTCTCCCTTCTTATAACGACCCAGTCACTTTGGACCAGAGCCGCCCTCTCTTTAAGGTAATCGCCTCTTTGAAGGCCCATTCCCAATGCAGTCACCCCCGGGGGCACCTGGCACAGAAACCCTGTGGAAGTCTCCCTTCACTTAAAATCTCAGCCTCGCCCGCTGGCCTGGCTCAGTGGCGGAGCGTCCACCTAGGAACCAGGAGGTCTCAGTTCGATTCCTGGCCGGGGCACCTGCCCGGGTTGTGGGCTCCATTCCCAGTGTGTGGCGTGCAGGAGGCAGCCGATCAATAATTCTCTCCCATCAATGATGTTCCTCTCTCTCTCTTCCTCTCTGAAATTAGAAAAAAATTGAATTAATTAATTAAATAAAACCTCGGCCTAATTAGACGCTGAGTCTCGGGGCCCTAGTCAGAGCTGCAGGTCTCCCTGCAGACAAATCCGAGTCTCTCTCCAGCAGCCTGTCCCTCTCACGTGCCCTTCATGCAAATGACCAGCTCACTTGGGGCGGGGGGCTGGTTAAAGGAGAGACCCCTGTGGACAAGGAAGCCCCTCCTGGTTGAGAGTGGCATTCAGGGCGCCAGCGGCCCCACTGGGAAGAAAAGAGGTGCTTGCCCCCAGGTGAGGCTGCGGGGAGAAACCTCGGGAGGTGAGAGGCACTGCCTCTGCGCTGAGCCCGTCCTGCTGTGCCCAGGGTGCCCAGGCCACAGACCCACCCCGGGCGCAGCCCTGAACAACTTCCCGCCTCTGCCCTCACCTGTGCAAAGGACTCCACCGGTCCTGCCTCACAGGTGGACCTGGGCTGGGCTGTGGTTGGCCAACAGAGATGACCATGACCTAGTTCTGTCCAGGTGTGGGCCTCAAGAGGCCTTGCCCACACCAACCACCTGGCTGCCAGGTGGCCGGGCCCTGGGCACGGCCGCGTCCCAAGCCAAGAGGCCTGTGGACGGCTCATTGTCGTTAGCGCTTGGACAAGTTTGAATGGGGTTCCCACCACTCGTAGCAAGTTCCCGGGATACTGAGCCTCCCAGCCTGACCTTGGCCTCGGGCCCTCACAGACAGACCCAGATCAGCCCTCTCGTTCACTGCGTGAGGGAAGGATGGGAACTGAGCAGGTCTCTCCTGCCCGAAGCAGGGAGGGGGTCCCTGGCTCCCAGCGCTCAGTCCGCGGCGCAGAAATGCTTTCAGTGCGGACACGGGGTGGAGGCAAGGCGTGTCCACCGAGCTCCGCCTGCTGGTGACAGTGTGCGGTCAGGTGTGTGGCTTCATCCCTGTGGCCTGCTGGTGTGGCGTGTGTTCATTCAGGCACAGCGCGTTCCCGGTTCCAACACGCTGTGCAGACGCTGGTGACACAAATAGTGGGAAGAAATTTGTCCTTGTGGCCCAAGGAGGCTGCTCCCCTGATAACGTGGGTGGTGAGGCCTTCCCCCAGGTCCCTGGGCCGGTGCTGCTCCGTCCCCGGACCTCCGTGTCGCACATCCCGGGACCACTCCCGCTCAGAGCACACTCAGCGGCTCACACAGGCCCCAGAGGCCGGCGGGGATTTGGGAATCCGGGGATTTGGGGAAGGGAAGTGAGGCTGGGCCAAGTTTGGCAGAGCGCTCAAAAACATGCAAACCCCTTGTGGGTTGAGAAGACCCCCCTGTCACTTGGGCATGGGGACACCTCGCCACAGGGACACCGCCCAGACTGCAGGCTCTCGGGGGTCGGGAGCCGCTGCAGAGGCTCTCGAGGGCAGGTGCGGGCTGGGTGGAGAGGAAGGCATGGGCTGAGCAGCGTTCTGGTGTGGGTTGTGGCCAGCCCAGCCCGGGGCAGGGGTTGTCCTTGTCCAGGAACCTGGGCCGAGGTCAGGATCCTGGGAGCAGGGACACTGGACTGAGAGGTGCTCCTGACCTCCGGGCTTGGAGTTACCCAGTGGGTGGCTGGGCTCCCGGACAGTGGGTGTCATGCCTGGGCGGCGGGAGATGACCGCACCATGGACCCAGACACAGCTTCCTGGGGAAGGTGTCTATTTGGCAGGTGACCTGAGCTCAGTTTGGGAAAATAGGAAAGAAACAGAGGGCATCACTTCAGACCTGCTGGGGCACAGTCCCCGGGCAGGCTGAGCTGCACACCTTTGAAGCATCTAAGTGAGTTAGAGAGGCGCCTGCAAGTGCAGAACAGCATGTTCCGGGCGGACGCGCAAGGGCCAAGGGAAGCGGTGACAGACTCATCTCAGAGATACAAGAGTCATCCTGGGAGCCTTCCTGCAGGCGGCGAGTCCAGCAAGGTTTCACAGGACATGGGTGGGTGACCAAGAGAACGTTCCAAAGTGAGGAGAAGGCCGCAGGCAGTGGTCACGATCAGAAGTCTCATTCCCAAGTCAAGGTTGTGCCAGGAGAAGTGGAGATGACAGGGCATTCAGATGTGCTTTTTACTTTTTTATTTTTTACTGATTTTAGAGAGAGAGGAAGAGAGAAAGAAACATGTGTTGTTCCACTTATTTATACATTCATTGGTTGATTCTTGTATGTGCCCTGACCAGGGATCGAATCCACAACCTTGGGGTATTGGGATGACGCTCTAACCAACTGAGCTGCCCGGCCAGGGCCCGATGGGCTCTTTGAAGGACATGCACCGAGGGGCTCCTGAGGGTTCCTCTGCTCGGTTTCACAGTGTGTCGGCCTCACTAACCAGCTCCGCCCATACACCGGCGGTTCTTAAACTCCATCATTCATGGGAATCACAGGGGAAGATGGTAAAAATGGCAGCTTCTCCTGCTTCACCAATGGGGACCCTGATTCCGAAGGGCTGAGGCGGGAGCAGGGCTCTGGTTGGCCGAGCCCCGGGGGGTTCAGGCTCATGGCCCAGCAGATTGACACTAGGCGAGTGGCTGGAGATGGCTGCAGAGCCTCGCCAAGGCCCCGATGTCTTTGTCCTGGCCAGCAGAACGGCTTCCAGCGACATCCACATCCTGATGCCAGAAGCTGAGCACCTTAGGGGTCACAGGCAAAGGGAACTATCGACGTGGGGAATTCAGGTGCCAAAAGGATGACCTGTCATGGCCAGATCACAAGGGGCCTTGAGAGTGAAGGAGGGACGCAGAGAAGTCAGAAACACGTGATGACGGCAGGGCCAGGAGCTGCTGCCGCTGGCTTTGAAGATGGAAGGGGCCACAAGCCAAGGACTGTGAGCACCTACAGACCCTGGGAAAGGCAGGAAATTCTCTACTAGAGTCCCCAGAGGAGCCAGCCAGCCAGCACCTCAATTACAGCCCACGCAGCCCTCGGCGACCTCCAACCTCCTGAACGGCGGGCTATTCATTTGTGGTCAGCGAGAAAAAACTCCCTCAGCCCTGACTCTCACCAGGCCCGCGTCATTGAGCCGGTGGAGACACCTGTGAGGACAGAAGCCACACCGACGGGCCGTTCTGCCGGCCTGTCCGCTTGGCCGTTTCATGCTCACTGCCATCTCAGTCACCTATTTGGTTCTTGCAGGTTTGACATCGACTCAGCACAATAGCACCATGACCATCACTGTTGGCAGAAATGGGCAATGCCCTTCCCCGCGTCCCCAGAGCAGACAAGCAGAATTCTGGGGGCGTAGAAACAGGTGGGAGCATCTATTAGGGCGCCCTCGGTTCGGTGGTGACTGCCCGCCCGGCTGACAGGTGAGTAAACAACCCCGAGGAATGAGGTGAGGGAGGGCTTTCCTAGGGACCCTTCCAGTTCTGACCCTGGAAACTGCTTGTGAGGGACTCAGTGCCGATCATTTAGATGCTGGCCTGGCACGACCGGTGTCCACTGTCACAGACGCTGGCCTTGCCCAGCACAGAGACTGCCCTGGCACGAGCAGTCCCCCCTGTGCGCCCAGAACCTGCAGAGGCCTGGAACAGCGCTCGCTGCCACCCAGCGCAGGGTACTTCCTCCTGCCTCCCTAGCCGGTCAACCCAGCCTGTCACCAACAGCTCACCGCCGAGTGGAACAGAGGGCTTTCTTCCCCGGCTCTCGACTTTCCACCAGCCAGCCCACAGGTCGGTGTCTGCTGCTGGAACTGTCGCAGGAATGTCGCTGCTGACTACAGGAATATTGCTGCTGGCTATGCTCAGTGACTGACTCCCCAGTAATATATGTGCTCTTTCCGTGACCAGGAAAGGGTGAGATGTTAGCAAGGCAAGCTGGGCCGGTTTCGGCCGGCAGACAGAGCCCGGCCTCCGGGAGGGTCTGGGTGGTGCTACACAGCTAATTATATGGGCAATTAGAAGGGCCGTCCAACCCAGTGATGAGGCAGGAGAGGCAGGTGCTGGGCAGACTGGTTCCTCCGCCTCGGGGACCTCGCAGCCAGCATTTAGCCTGGAGGAGTGGGCCTCTACCTGCTCCAGGCTCCACCTCTTACTCATCTGAGAAATGGACATGAAACCAAAATGCCACACCACTGCACACCCATCCGCGGGCGTAGGCCATTTCCTGGTCTAAATTAAATCATTCAAGAAAAAATCAAATATGCAAAAACACAGCCACCCTCAAAAAACGCCGAAATGATCACCATGGACACAAGCCCTCCCCTGGGCTGCCTCTACGGTGGCGAAGTACTTTCGAAGTTGATGCCTCACCTGACCTTCACGGTGACCCCACGAGGTCGCTGTGCAAGGGGCATCTTGAGCTGCAACTGAGGGACCGGTCACAACCCATGGGCTCAGGCGTTATGAAGCTTCCCAGCAACGCTGCTGAGGAGGAAACTCCAGAACCAGAGGCAGGAGACGAGAGTTCCGGCCCCTGTCCTGATGGACATGTATGTTAGGACCTAAGGTCGTGTCTGTCCCAGTGGACACTGGTTCTCAAACTTCAGAGCCAGTTTGTTTAAAAGGCAACATTCTGGACGCCGCACCCAGAGGCTCTGACGACGAGTCTGAGATGGAGCCCAGAAACCTGCGTTGTCAGCGAGAGGCCGGCGCTTCAGGCACAGCTGGGCTCTCTCCACATCGGACTCTAGAGCAAATGGCACATGATGACTCTAAGCTTGGACCACAGCTCCCAGAGCCGGCTGTGCCCGCTGTGCAGACCGCCCGGGAGACACCCTCGAGGGCATCAGACATCACTGAGCCATGGCGTGGGCGGCCCTCAGGGCTCTGACTCACGCCAGTGCCAGCCGTCGTAAACATCACAAGAGGGGTATGGTCAGCTGTGGATGAAATCACAATGACCAGGCATCAGACTGTTCCTGCTTCCCCACGCATGGGGGTTTGCAGTACACGAGTTGGCTCAGACAGGTGAACAGCCATCGTGTCCTTTTGTCATCCTGTTTCCTGAAAGAATTTGAAGCAACAGCAAATTTTAGTCACCTTCTCATTCTAACATTCCGTTCCTCCCGTCTCTCTTTGGCAACAGCCTCTAATAGCCACTCTGCCCGTCCTCCTCCATGAGGGGAGACCTGGTGTCCAGATCTCTCTGTGGCCACATGGAATGCAGACTCCTCCCCCAGCCCCTCGTGCAGTGACCTGTGGCTCTGTCCAAGTTCAGGTCGATGAGATGAAAGTAGAATTGGCCTGGGAACCTTCCAGGACGTTCTTGAAGGCATAACTTCTCTTGCCCTTTCTTCCTTCTGGCTGGAATGTAACCCTAATGGCTGGTGCTCCAGCAGCAATCTTGGACCATGAAGTAACCTTGGGAATGGAAGCAAGCAGGGTGGATAGACAGAAAGTGGATGGTAGGAGTCGGAGGCTGGGGCAGGGCGGGGGGAGGGGAGTGAGTGTTTAATGGGGACAGAGCTACCGTTTGGGAAGTTAAAGTTCTGGAGATGGTGGAGGTGATGGTCACATAACTGTGAATGTACTTAATGCCACTACACTGTGCCCTTAAAAGTGGTTAAGTTGGTACATTTTATATTATGTGTATTTTACCACAAGTTTAATTTTTTAATATATATTTTTATTGATTTCAGAGAGGAAGGGAGAGGGAAAGATAGAAACATCAGTGATAAGAGGGAATTATTGATCCGCTGCCTCCTGCACGCCCCCCACTGGGGATCAAACTCACAACCCGGGCATGTGCCCTGATCAGGAATCAAACCGTGACCTCCTGGTTCATAGGTCGACGCTCTATCCACTGAGCCAGACCAGCCAGGGCACCACAATTTTTTTTAAAACCCTGAATTCATCTCCTGCCCTGCAGTCTTGCTTCCTCCGGGCGGGGCAGGGTCTCTGCACTATGGATCTTCCTCGAGGGGCTTAGAGACCTGTTACAGCTTCAGACACCTCGTGTGCTCTCAACACTGAGAAGCCCATTGACCGTGAGTGTTACACACCTCAGCTTAGAGAGCAGAGGTGTGGCTTGGGCAGCCGGGACCCCACTTACAGACCCTGGGCGGGGCTCTTGTGGAACCTCACAAGCAGACGATGTCAGGATGGCTTCCCGCATTCGGGAGGCACGTTGGCACGAGGGGGCAGAGGATCCAGAAGGCAGGGTCCTGCCTGGCGGGGTGACGTTGCCCTGTGAGGGGAGCTGTCCTCGCTCTTTCCCGAGGTCTGAGGTCTCCTGTCTCCTGCGCCGGGGAACCCTAGGGACCTGGGAGATGTGGGCGACGAAGTCGGCGTCCTTGCTCAGGAAGAGTTTTCGTCTGAGGAGGAAGTCAGACAATTCATGCGGCTGTGAAACCGTGCGGCGCAGTTGTGGGGGGTCAGTGCGATGGTAAATAAAAATGCAGCCAGGGCGCGCAGAGCGGGCGGAGAAGAGGCCGAGGGAGGTGGCCCGCCAGAGGCCGAGGACGAGGCTTCCAGGGGAGGCGACGGCAGGGGCTGTGGGTCCTGGCCACTTGGAGGAACGGGAAGGAAGGAGCGTCCCCGGCCGCCTCTGACCACCGCACCTGGGCAGCACTGGCCTCATCCACCAGGGCGCATGCCGGGCCCGGGGAGCTCCCCGCCCACAGCCTCGGCTCCCGACACCTCCCAAGAGGCCGGGCCTTCCACCTCTGACAACCACAGCCGCTCCCGTTACACGTGATGTAGTTACATATCGATCACCCCACGGAGCCAGAGGAGACTGGCATCTGTCCATCTGCATGACTGACCGCATGGGTCCAGGCAGTGAGCTGGGGCAAGGCGAGGGCGGAGCTTCGGCAGGGACGCCACGGGGGAGTGGGTGGGGCCTCCCAGGGAAGGCGCAACCGTGAGGGCCTAAACAGGTGGGACGTGCCAGGGTGGGGACCAAGGCTTTGGACACCTTGAAAAATGTCGAAAGAAGAGAGACAAGGATCCAGGTCGCAGGCCTCTGGGCCAGGTCCCTACAGCCTGCCTGTCCCTCCCTGCAGGGCCTGGTGGCCTGGGCACAGGGCGGAGCCAGGGGCTTGCTCTCCTGGGACCCCGAGCCGAGAAGCAGGGACACTGTCTATGCTCAGACCCACAGCCAACCAGCACTCGGGGGCCCCACACAGCTCCCCAGTGCCCGCGCCCTCCCTGCTGCCCCCAGGAATCTCGGATGTCAGGGAGGGAGAAAGAGACCCTGTCAGGGTCAGCCAAGTCCATGGCAGGGACGCGGTCCGCCCTGCAGAATGGCCCCACCTCCACACGTGGCTCCGGGAGGCGCGGGGAGCTCACACAGCAGAAGCGCACAGGGGCACGCGGTGGCTCTCAGCAGGGTTGCTGGGACGGTGGGCCAGCACAGGGCGGGGTGGGGCCATGGGCACGTGGAAAAGTATCTGCCAGAGCAGGTGTCAGGAGGACCCCACAGCGGGGAAGGCTGCTTGCACCCAGCTGCTGCCTGGAGAGCAGGACTGGGAGGTGAAGGGGCCCTCGCAGGGGACAAACGAGGGACCGTGTTTGCTCTGCAAACAGCCCTTGGGAAACCGGAGGGCTGGGACTCAAATCCTAGAAGGTGCGTGCGCGCGCGGTGAGGCTCAGGAGGGGACTGAGGGGGCGCGTCCCCTCCCACCACCAACTGTTGACACGGTCACAGGAAAGAGGATGTTGCAATGCGCACTTGCAACACCCGCTCTAGGGAAAGTGGCTGCGTGCTGGGCCCCCAACCTTTACCCGGAATGTCCCTTGTCACCTGGAGGCGGCCCAGGAGGACTCACTGGCTGTGTCCGCGACGCGGGCATTAACAAAGCTGTCACAGCAAACCCAGAAGCAGTCGCAGAATTAATTTTCCCTCATTAGTAATATCCTCATTTGCATGATTAGCATATCATAGTCACTAAGCACAGGCAGCCACGAATAAAATCACTGAGCAAAACTGTCACCTGCTAAGCAAAAGAATAAGACAGAAATGACGTGATGCAGCTAAACAAGCAGGAGATGCTGGAGTTCCCCCCAAACAATGTTCAGGGCACCAGGCATCCCATGTTGGGGTGATGAGGAGGGCGGAGCAAGCCTTGCAGACGCTTCGGGGGAGGATGGGCTCAGGCATTCACAATGCTGCTTGGTGGCCATCGGGCTCCTCCAAAAATTCCAGACAGGGCGGTTCCCGCCTGCTCCCCGCCCCTTCCTCCCCGCCCTGCTCCCTGGGGACCCCGGCCGGCCAGGAGGCGGGACATTCCTGGCCACAGTGGTGCCACCACCAGCCCAGACCCATGGCTTCCACTGGCTGCAGGCCTCGTGACCTCTGGCCATAGCTGGGGCTGGGACTATGGCCAAGGGCACAGTGACCCCCAGAGCAGAGCAAAGGGAACCAAATGGCCTCAGAAGGGCCTCCGGTGGGGGCAGGCCCTCCGTGGACTCTGGCCGAACCGGTGCCGGGCCCTGGGGAGACGTTCATGCCTGGGTCCCAGTGCAGGTGCGGCCTGTCCCGCAGAGCCTTCTGCCGTGACGGAATGTTCTAGATCTGCCGCGTCCTGAAAGGTGGCACTGGCAAGTCAGGGCTGGCTGGTGCACTTCACTCCACGGGAACGACGGGAAATCTGAGGAGCCACGTGTGGCTGGCGGCCACCGGACGCGCAGGGCCCTGAAGGTAACAAGAACTGAGGGTCCAGCTGGAAAGGGATTGTTTGGGGTCAGGTGGATGGAACCACGGCTCCCACCGCCTCCTGCTGACCCCCGAGAAGGCCACCGACGGCGCACTGACCGGCCACCGACACACACAAGCAGGCGCCGGGGCCCAGGGAGGCTCAGGCTCGGCTGGCACATCTAGTGGGACTTTACCTTCACTCACTGTTTCAAGTTGTCCCTGGACCACATGCCAGTCTGTCCTATACATTCTCACTGCCGTCTTTGCCTACTGCTAGGAGAAACATGAGAGACATAGAGGGAGGGGTAAAGGTGCCTGGCACTGAGACCAGGAAAACATTAATGCTCAGTTTTGACCTAAGTGACAGAAAAGTCCCAAATGTCCTCAAGGCCAGGATCCGTGAGTGTGGAAGGAACCTGGGAGCTTAGGAAACACGTGCTTCCAGTTATCGCCGGCTGCTGGGGCGGCTGAGCCATGTCCAGACGCCACCCTTCTAGATGAAAAAAGAAAAGAAAACACAAGACAATGATCAACCAAGATAATTAGAAATGCCAGCAAGGTCAAGGCACCAGGGAGAGTCCCTGAGTAAAGAGAGGCCTGGGACTAAGCTGAGCACAGCCCGGCATACCTACGCTACGCTCTGTGTTTTCGCTGGCACGGGAGACGGAAAACTGAAACCCACACC